TTGTAGTAACTATTAGATTACTTAGATATTGCAAAAAAAGGTTCAAATGGGGTAGTGATGCGTGAAATATGACGCTGCATCCTGTTAGCGTCACTAGCCTCTTCTACTCAATTCCAACTCTCACCTCCACGCGGTGAACCCTGGTAACCTGAGCAACTCTGTGGAAGATTGTGGTAACCAACCCCAGTGGGAAGCAGAGTCAGGGCAAACGAGAGTGGGAGAAATGGTCCTTTGAAGATTAGGGGGTTGGGCAAAAGGTTAACGACCTCTTCCCTTAAAAAAAACTCATTGTTATGAAAGCACAAAGTGAAAAAGCCGGACTGTTTAATTCACGACGACCTAGCAAACGACAATGGAATAACAATTTACGGATATGCACATGAAATGTACGAACCCTTTATGCCCCAGGTGCTCTTAGACTGCTAACACAAGAACTTGATAAAATGAAAGCCGATGTAGTAGCGATTCAAGAGATGAGATGGACTGGTTCAGGAATCATCGAGAAAAGAGACTACAATATATACTATAGCGGACATAGCAGCCGACACGAGTTTGGCAGTGGTTTTCTAGTCAGTAAAAAAGCAAAGCAATTAGTCCTTAACTTTAAACCCATAAACAACAGAATATGTTATCTACGTCTTAAAGGAAAATTCTTTAATTATAGCTTACTTAGTGTAGACGCACCTACGGAAGAAAAGGAGGATAATGAAAAATATGAATTCTATGACACCTTAGACAAAAAATATGATCGATGTCCACGTCATGACGTGAAAATCATTGCTGGGGACCTTAATGCAAAAATTGGCAAAGAGCAATTTTTCCAGCCTACTATAAGACGTGAGAGCTTACATGAAGAGTCAAACGATAACGGGTTGAGACTAATAAACTTTGCAAGTACTAAAAACATTAGTAGGAGGAACAAGATTTCCCCATAAAATGATACACAAAGGAACATGGAAATCCCCTGATAACGAAACCATTAACCAGATAGATCACATCCTGATAGATGCAAGGCACTCTTCCGATCTCATAGACGTCAGAAGCTACCGAGGCCCAAACATTGACAGTGACCACTTTCTTGTAATGGCAAAAATCAGAGGAAGAATATTAAACCTAAAGAAAGATAAACACACGAAACAAGACAGAATTAATGTTGATAATCTGCGCATTGAAACCGTTGTGAGAGAGTATAGGAGACAAATGGACGAGGAAATGGAGAGCCTGGAGGTGGGGGAAAATGTAGAGGAACTGTGGACAAAATGTAAAAACATAATAACTGAGAAAGCAACAAAAATATTGGGGAAAACCAAACCAGTTAAAGAAAACGAATGGTTTGACAAGGAGTGCCAAGAAGCAACAGATAACAAAAACAGGGCATACCTAAAGACAAATCAAGCTGGATGCACAAGAAGAGCAAAGGAAGAATACCGGACACTAAGAAGAGAAGAAAAACGATTACATAGAAGAAAAAAAAGACAATTTGAGCAAAAGCAATTGGAAAGCACAGAATGGCTAAGAAATCAAAATGAAACTCGAAAGTTCTACAGAAATCTAAACAAAATGCGCAAAGAATTTAAGCCAAGAATAAGGAGCTGTAAGGATGTAGAAGGAAACATCCTAAATGATACGGCCTCAATCCTAAACAGATGGGTTGAATTTTTCGATGCAAAATTTAATGGCCATCATATCGAAGAAGCAGACAACACCCAATCGAAATGATTGGAATCCTTTCAACCCAAACGAAAGACCACCTACCATCGAAAACGTTGCCCAAGCCATTAAAAAGCTTAAAAATAATAAATCACCAGGAGTTGATCAAATTTGCAGTGAGCTCTACAAGAATGGTGGCGATGCCCTACTACAGACACTGCATAAGCTTTTACTTCTTGTTTGGCATAATGAGACCATGCCTTGTGAATGGTCTCAAGGCGTGATATGCCCGTTACATAAAAAAGGTGACCAGCTCCAGTGTGACAACTATAGAGGTATAACCCTGTTAACAACTGCTTACAAAATACTAGCAAATATTCTCTACGAAAGGTTGCAAGTTTACACAGTGGGCATAGTTGGTAAATATCAAGTTGGATTCACTCCAGAAAAATCAACAATTGACCAGATTCATTCAATAAGACAGATTCTCGAGAAAACATTAGAATTCAATATTGAAACCCATCACCTATTCGTCGACTTTAAGGCCGCATACGATAGTGTCCAGAGAACAGTGCTATACCAATCAATGCATGAGTTTGGTATACCAGAGAAACTTATCCGACTAACAAGAATGACAATGTCTAACTTAGAAGCCACTGTTAGAATACAGGGAGAGAGTTCTAGATCCTTTGAGATAAAGGATGGACTCAGACAAGGAGATGCTCTGGCTTGCCTTCTATTTAATATTGCCTTAGAAAAGGCAGTCCGAGATACATGAATTAGGGATGGCGGTACTATTTACAATAGATTGATACAAGTCTTAGCATATGCTGATGACATTGACATAGTAGGGCGTAGCAAGCGAGATGTCAATATCTCCTAGAATTGGAAACAGCGGCGAAACAGGTCGGTCTAGTCATCAACGAAGACAAAACCAAGTACATGTTGGTTACAAAGGATCCGATAGCAAATGACGAAGGAGAAACAGTCTTTGAAAGTCATACCTTTGAACGTGTTGACAACTTCACATACCTTGGGTCGCTATTGACTGCTACCAATAAAATAAGCGAAGAAATCAAAAGACGAATAAATCTTACAAATAGGGCATACTATGGACTCCAAAAGCATTTCCACTCAAGAAACATTCAAAGAAGAACTAAAATTATTATATACAAAACATTGCTGAGGCCGGTCCTCACATATGGAGCAGAAATATGGACACTAACGCAGAAAGATGAAAGACTTTTGGGAATATTTGAGCGTAAAATACTCCGCAAAATATTTGGAGCTGTAAACAACCAAGGGCAGTGGCGCAGAAGATATAATTTTGAATTGTATCAGCTCTTCGATGAGCCAGATGTCATAACGTTCATTAAAACACAGCGACTTAGATGGGCTGGACACATAATACGAATGCCAGAAAATACAATTGCTAAAAAGCTAACTACAGGAACACCTGTAGGAAAAAGAAGTAAAGGCCGACCGCGAATTAGGTGGTTAGATGGAGTAGAAACCGACTTACGAATATTAAAAATCAGAAGATGGCAACATGTTGCCAAAAACCGAACAGAATGGCGACGAATCTTAGAGCAGGCCAAGATCCACAAAGGATTGTCGAGCCAAAGATGATGATGATGATGAGATATTGCAAAAAGCGGAAAGATTCTGTAAAAAAATTAAAAAATAACGAAAAATACGAATTATCCACACTAAACAACGTTTGTTTGGAAAGTGAAATTGACAGATGTCAATCAAATCTACGTCATCACTCCGGCGGTCCATTTGGGAGATGTAATGTATTGTAAATAAACGTATAGCAAATAAAAGCAAAGCAATAGTTTATTTTGGTACATTTATGTTAACCATTAATATAAATAGCATCATGTTTAAAATAGTTTTTGAACTCGTGTGTAAACGAGTTTTTTGTAGAGATTTTTAAACGAGGGGGAATTTTACGATATTTTAATGGTTTATTTTACTTTGAGTTTTGTGAATTTTAAAAGCAATAAAATGTTTTAGAACCAGCTCTTAAAATTTGAGTTTTGTGAATTTTAAAAGCAATAAAATGTTTTAGAACCAGCTCTTAAAAAATGCGTTTAGAGAAAATAGAACAATAAATCTTCAAAAACTTTATAAAATTTTTTAGCTCTTTTTTTTGTGCGAAGAAATAGTTATCTCCCTGTGGCCACGTCCTACCCACTATATCACGTCTGGTATGAGTGTTCTTGTCCATTTAGCCACCAGAACCAACATAAACTTTAATTATATTATCTTACAAAATAAGTATAGTTACCTATGCAAAGAGGATTTAGCAAAGCAAATACATGATACTATAACAAACACAGCAGATATTAGTAATTTCCAACGATTTATTCAGTTATGCTAGGTATTCATGGCCTGCAGAACAACAATAGAACCATATTTAATAAAATAAATAGCGTGATTAATACAAATATTTACTAGAATATTTAAATAGTTAAATTATAGCTAAAATATATTTTTTAGATATATACTACCCAAAATTTTATGGGTTTAGTATACACTTCCACTATTTGTAATAATTCTTCTTTTTTCAACGAAAGAGTCTATAATAAAATTGTATTCCAGCTGTTAAAAACCGTGAGATAGGAACTTTTACGCTGTTGGTTTCCACCTATGAATCTGTCAAAATATGCCGAACTAGTCGAATGGACCCTACTAAGTTTTTTTGACAAAAAAGAGTTCTTAATCAGGCCAGAGTCTACAGCTAGCGGTAGACTCAGTCAGAATTTCACATTGATACGTATTTCACTCAAAAATAGCGCAATGCAGCGATAACCAGTCTAGTTCATTGCCTGATATACAATTTCATTGGCCCCCATATAGGAGTATTCCATCGAGCAATAAGACAAAAGAGGGAATCTAATCCTTATAAAAAGGAGACCAAAAAAGTGGCCTCTGATGGCGGACACATCCGGAAATTCAAAGGCGCCAAATTTAAATTTTTCGACACTTATCAACAGTAGCTATATAATATTTTTCAAAATGTGTCTTAGACGAGAAAGTTTTAATTAATTATTAATGATAAGATTCTAAAATGCGACACAATTGTTAAAAAACTTCAATATAAATAAAATTTCATGTGACATTTGGGACAAACAATAACATAACCCAACTAAATTTGATGTCAAACAAGGAGAGAGACTCTCTATCCTTGTCTAAAGTGGCCTCTCAAGATGGCACTTCCTGTCTATCAATATGTTTACCCCTTCTACCTTTACATTCCCTCTTTTGTCTTATTGCTCGATGGAGTATTCCCAATATAGGATCAGAATGGTGTAGGAAGGAGTTTGTACATACCACTAAAAACATAGTATATAAAAAAGTTTATTTATAATTAAAATTTGCTACAAAAAAATTATCAATAAAATATTAGACAATCAAGTGAATGGTTATTTCAAAATTACTTAAAACACGTTAAAATGGATATTCAGCATTTTCTTTTATTCTGAAACAATAAACACATTAAAATTAAGAATTTTATGTACAATTTTATAACTAACAAATATTTTGCACATTCAAGTAAACTGAATCTCATGCGGAATTGGCATCAAGAACACATTAAAAAAGTCGATCAAAGGGCAAACTAAAGGGGATACAAAAGAAGATCATTTAAAATATTTTGTGATTAGAACATCCATTAGAATCTTTCCTAGAATCCTAAATAAATTCAAATGTTGAGAGACATATCGCAGTATAAGTTTGTAGGTTTTTCCTTAATATAACAAACGTAACAAATCCACAGGGTTAATTAATTCTTAATAATTAAATCCAATGGTAATTCCCATTAAAAAACCTGGCAGGCCAGTACGTGATCCAAGTTATTACCGACCTATCTCCCTATCTTCATGTCCTTTAAAAACATTCGAAAGAATAATTAAAAATAGATTTGAACATTGGCTAGAACACGGTGATATACTTTCAAGATCCCAATATGGTTTTCGCAAGTCTAAGTCCACTCAAGATGCAACTACAGCTCTAGTTACTTCAGTCCGTCTTATATATCCTCTACAATATAGATCTTGAAGTTAGTATACCCAACCATACAAAAATTCTTCAATATGCTGATGATGTTGTTTTATATACAGCAGGAAAATTGTTAAGTACCTATGAGTAACAGTGCTATAAAGAAATAGGATTATCAATTTCTGACACAAAAACTGAGGTGTGTTACTTTTCACAAAAGCATAGAGTTCCACAAGACAATCTTAATATGGGAAAATTTAATTTCTCTATAAAAAACTGTATTAAGTATCTTGGTACCTATCTAATCAGAAAATTGTTATGGAAAGATCACATTCATCAAATTGTTAAAAAAAACAGAAAACTCAATGAACATTTTAACAGTTTTCTGTAAAACAAATTGAGGATCAGACCCAAATATTGCTTTGATGTTTTATCGGAACATGATCAGGACGATTTTAGACCATAGGTAACTGCCATTTATTTGGATTAGTAGCCTATACACATCTAAACAAATTTGAAGTTCAAAAAAATAAAAACCTGAGATTATGCCTAGGTTATTTAAAATCCACTCCAGTCCACATAATGGAAAATGAAGCGATGGAACCTCCATTACATTTACTCCGCCAATTGTTAGCGACAAATTTACAATCCGAATTGTGTCCAAAAATTGTCAATACTTTCAAGAACTTCATGAGCTATCAGGTTTAGACCTCACCCACAGGTACTGGAGAACTAAAAAATCTATACCTTTGGTAGAAAGTTATCTAAGTATGGTAAAATATAACGATATTCTCTATAAAAGCCAAATTTGTGCAACGGTGAAATGGCAAAAACACTATTTTCTAGAAAGGTTAAAATATGTTACTTAAACTCATATTTACTTCCAACTATGTTTGATATAATTATTAAGAAAATGTTCAAATTATCAGTACATCTTTACTGATGAGTCAAAAGATGCAAATGGCTGTGCAATGTTCCATGAAAATAAAAATTACAATTACCAGTATAGCTTACCCAGTGAATGCTCAATATACTCGGCAGAAATGATGGCAGTAATGTTTGCTCTTCAGTATGTAGTACTGAATCCGATTATCAACTATGTTATATATTTACTGACAGTAAAAACGTAGTCGACAGATTTAACAACATTCAAACAGTCAAACACATAAACCACATTGAACTGAAAATTCTGCCTGAAACTATACAGTTAGGATAAAATGTAACAATAACATGAATCAAGGGTCATTCGAGAATAAAAGGCAATCAAATCATTGATGAATTCGACCTTACTTGATGGAAATTCATTTTATGTAACAATAAAACACTGAAAACTTTGTTTTCAAACTTCCACAAAATTTATTTTAAATCTTATCACTACAGCTGTTTCGGCTGATTGCCTTTCTCAAGTGATCTATTTTTGGCTTGGGTTTACAAATTTATAGTCTCTAATGAAATAGGGTGAGGAGAGGAGAACTGTTTGTCTCAAGTTGGTCATTCAGAATTATATCTGTGTTTTTTAATTTGTTGATTTCCATAGATTCTAACAAAGATAGCTTAAGGCCTTTATTTTGAATGTGAAGAATTTTAAATTTGTCATTAAAAGAATGATTATGATCTAGAAGGTGAAGTGCGTATGTCGAATCTGTTTTTTTATTCTTGAAAGCCCTTTTATGTTATGCTATTCGTTTATCAAAGTTTCTACCAGTTTGACCGATGTAAGTTTTTGGGCAGTCGCCACATTGAAGTTTGTACACACCACTATTTAAGTGTTTTTTATTTTGGCTCTTGTTATTTTTAATATATTTGCCTAGGTTGTTATTTGTTAGGAAAGCTGGTGTTATTCCTTTCTTTTTTATGTTTTTGGCAATTTTTGTTGTTATTTTGCCTGTATATGTAATCGAGCAGAAGGTACTGGGTTTTTTCTTTGGTCGTATAAATACTAATTTTAGGGCTTTCTTATGTAGTTTTTGATTTAACATTTTATTAATTGTTTGTTCGTTGTATCCGTTGTTTACTGCTATTTGCTTAATTATATTTAATTCTGTCTCAAAGTTGTATTTTGACATCGGAATTTCTGTTAATCTATGTAACATACTATGATAAGCTGTCAGTTTATGTTGTGTTGGATGGGAAGATGAATTGTGTATAGTCGTGTCAGGATGGGTAGGTTTATGAAATATGGAGAAGTCATGATTGTTTTGAAGTCTGCTAGTTTTTAAATCTAAAAAATTTATGGATTGATTTTGTTCTGTTTCTATTGTAAATTCAATATGACTATGAAGTGAATTAATATACGATAAAAATTGGTCGAGTTGCCTGTTAGTTGCTGTGAAACATACCAGTACGTCGTCTACGTATCTCCACCAATATAAAAACTGTTTGAATACGGGATGTTTTGAAATCTTTGTCTCTAGATGATCCATAAAAATATCTGATAGCAATGGGCTTAAAGGATTACCCATTATAAGCCCTGCACTGTTATTTGTATATATTTTATTATTAAATTCAAAGTAGTCCTGGTTTATGCTAACTTCAAGAAGATGTAAAATTTCAGATGTACAAATCCAATAATTACATCTGAAAGTTTTCAGTGTTTTATTGTTACGACAATGAAATCGTTGACAATTTGGCTAAATCAGCATATATGGTCGGAGAAAAAGTAAACAAAAATTTAATTCCAGCGACAGATATTGACACTGTTAGTACACAAAAACTTAAAAATAATTGGCATTTACATTACAGAGAATGTAATGCTGGCTTAAACTTCTATCATTGTAACAGGATACCCTCAAGAAGATGGTTTTACACAGAATCTAATCGACTAATCGGCTGAGAGCAAATTATGCTCTTACGCCATTTACATGCGTGGAATCGGCTTATAAGAATACTCTCAATTGTAATTGTGGCAAAATAGGCAATCTAACACATATTATATTGGAAGGGAATTAATAAATTCTAAATGTTGTTTTCCAATAACCTACAGTATTAATAAAGTTTTTATTATTATTTGTGAAATGAGGAGCAATAACTACCACTAATATTGCAACCACTAGATGTGTGGGTATTCAAAGCATTCTCAACAAAAAAAAAAAAGATAAAGCCTAAAAAAGTCCATCGATCTGCCAAGTACATCAACATCAACAAATAAAATATCCGTGAGTGATAATATTCAAAAAAATATATCGGATATAGAAAATGATGCTACCTTAGACGCCAGTATTGAAAATAGCAATCAACAGAACGATAAAAATGGCAAGACTGTCACAGATGTTTTTAAAAGCCCAGAAGAATTTAAGGGCTTTCCAAAAACAGGAGAACGCAAAATTAAAAACACGCGAAGAACAGGCAAAAGTATTACAGTTACTGACACAAACGAAAAAAAGCCATAAAAGAACGAAGCATTACATATAAAATAAAAATTGATGGACTTGAAGTGAAAAAAGAGAAAAGGTCAAGAAACAAATATTTGAAGATAGTTCTGAAAGCTCAGAGGAGGAACATCCTCAGGGGATGACTGCTACTGTACAATCAATTTAGATGGATTTGAGGAGCTTCTTAGAAAACCCATAGAAAATGATTTTGTGCTCGTGGAATTTCCTGGAAAATTGGGGAAGAAGAAGGTGTATTATGTTGGAAAAGTCCTGAAAATAAATGAGTCAGAAGAGCATGAAATTTTGTATCTTAGAAAACAAACAAAGGGCACCGACACCAGAAAATTTGTATTTCCCAATATTCCAGATGAAGCTATTGTTCATTTAAAAGATATCAAGCTCATCATGCCACCCTAAATTCCTTGTGGGCATACTAGCCGACAGATGGCTTCTTTTACGTTTGAGATAGATTTTAGATTAATGGACATTAGGTAGATACATACATAGATATTATATTTTTATGTTTAAGGTCGATTCAGACACATCAGTCACGTCTCGTCACAGTCTTGGCGCCGAACCGAATAATCCGTCATACAAAATATTCTTTAATAGAAATATGGCGCCGGCATTCACATTCATCAGGCGACGAACAGTTTCCCAGCTGTCAGATAATTAATAGTTCTGTGACCAAACAGGACCGGTTCGGCGCCGAGACTGTGACGTGATGTGTCTGAATCGACCTTTACTCATTTTTTTACGTTCTACATCTTTTTTTTATTTATTTTGGATCTGCCTTTTGTGTTCAATAAATATGATATATAAACTATGTTCGCAACAATCAGTACCAAAATTATGTGATCAGAACGATATATTAATCTCAATAATAATATCCTCAATAAACTTTTTCAAAACGCAACAACCTAAATAAGATTTTTTGACATGCTAGATTATCACACTTGATAAAAAAAATATCAAACTTCAAAGTTACAAATGTTTCACTTGAAGAGAGATTAATATAAATGTCAACGCCTATGCTGGCGTTTAATTTTTTCATTTTGGATGGATAAAAACAAAATTACACTAAAATTAAAAAAACTGTCTCACTGTTGACAGTGACGACAAGGAAACTAAATTCCTTTATTTGGCTCTATACCATGTCTCATCAAAAAATATTATTTAAAAATTCCTTTATAAAAGGTATATTACAAACTCTATCGGGCTATAATACAGAACGTTTACAGAATAACTATTTTATCATCAGTGTTTTCTGGATGTACATGTTTGAAGCCACTTAGGGCTTATATTAAGAAGCTGAGTCCGAGTAATACGTTTAACGGGTGAGAGATTAACGAAGTAAAAACAACTTTCATTTAAACATTTTACGAAAACTGGACCATTTTTAAAAATCTATTGTGTCCTAAGTTTTTAATGAAAAAGTTATAAAAAAGTCATAAATACATTAATAAATATAAACCCACAAACAAAACATGTATTTTCAAATAAAGTACTTACTGAGGAAAGAAAATGGCCAAATCCACAATTCTTCCTTCTTCTCCTTTATCGAGTTGCTCGAGCATGTTCATATCCCGACTATCGAGTTTAAAATCAAATACTTGAAAGTTTTCTTTTATTCTATTTGGATTCGAACTTTTCGGTATAACGCACACATCTTTTTGGATTAAAAACCTAAGAAGGATTTGAGCAGGTGTTTTATTATGTTTTTCTGCGATTTTTCTTACTATTGTATCATTCAGAAGATGTGGTTGTTTAATAGCTCTACAAATTGTTGTAGATTATTATAAGATTAAGAAATAATTAATAAATATTATAATAATATATATGTTTTTAGTACTTATTAATAAACAGTGAGTTTTCACTCAACCTTACTTACTTCTTTAAGTTTTCATCTAAAAACTGCCCTAAGTTTGGAGTCCCCAAGGGAGCATAGGCTATTACAACAATATTATTGTCTTTACAAAAACTAACATGATCCTGATTTTGAAAGTATACGTGCATTTCCACTTGTGAACACACTGGTTTTATTGTGGCAATTTTCATGATCTTTTTTATTTGAGAATTATTGAAGTTAGAAATTCCTATGAATTTTGTTCGACCTACTTCAACTTGTTCTTCCATTTTCTACAAAATAATGATTCAGTAATAATTTTAAACAATATTAAGGAAGTCTAACAGTTGCCGTCACCGTCAGAGACAGAAAGGAAATAAGCGACGCCATTGAAAAATTCTACACTAAACTATACTCGGTAAATATACAGCCATAACAACGACGTACTCAACGAACAATAATTAACACCGGCTCAGAAGAAATACCGGACATAACCGACTATGAAATAAGAATGGACCTAAATCAACTTAAAACGAATAAATGTCCGGGAGAGGATAAGATTACAGTTGAAATGTTGAAAATTGGTGGCAGAAAAATGGAACAGGTATTAAATGTTTTATTTAATAAAGTAATTGATGAAGGAAATATTCCTCAAGAATGGTGCAACTCCGAGGTCATTTTACTATTCAAGAAAGGAAACATAGCAAACATCGAGAATTACCGACCAATATCCTTGCTATCACATCTGTATAAATTACTAACTACAATCATAACCAACCGCCTAACACATAAGCTCGATTTATATCAACCTATCGAGCAGGCTGGATTCAGAAAACATTTTAATACCATAGACCACTTGCACACCGTAAGAACACTGATAGAAAAATGCACCGAGTATAATGTTCCAATTCATTTGGCGTTCGTCGATTTCCATAAAGCATTCGATTCCATCGAATTGTGGGCAGTGCTTGAATCTCTAGAAAGTGCATGCATAGATTCAAGATACATTAACATAATTTAACATATATGAAAATTCCACCATGCATATAAAGCTGGACAAAAGCACAAAAACTAATCCCATAAGACTACAACGGGGAGTAAGACAAGGAGACACCATCTCTCCCAAACTATTTACCCTTGCTCTAGAAGATATTTTTAAGAAACTGGAATGGAACAATATTGGTATCAACGTCGACAGATCATACTTAAACCACTTGAGATTCGCAGAGGACATAGTTTTAATAGCCGATAATATCCAAGAACTAAATGATATGTTACAACAATTAAATGCAGTTTCAGGAGCGGTAGGCTTAAAATGAACTACGGCAAAACAAAAATACTGAGCCGAGACCAGACAAATATAACAATACAAAATCATACCATAGAAAATGTGGAACATTATGTATATCTAGGTCATGTTATCAAACTAGGAAAAGCAAATCAAGATACTGAAATTAAAAGAAGAACACAACTGAACTTGGGGCGCTTTCGGCAAACTAGCACATATCTTGAAAAACACCTCCATTCCTATAAACTTAAAGAAAAAGGTGTGTAACACATGCATACTACCAGTTTGTACCTACGGCTTGGAGACAGTACCTAGCACTTACCAAAAAATCTGCCAAAAAAATAGAAACAACGCAAAGAGCAATGAAACGAATCATGCTTGAAATATCACTAAGAGACAAGATTAGAAACACCGAGATAAGACGTAGAACGAAGATTAGGGATATTGTGGAAGAAACTACAAAAATGAAATGGCGCTGGGCAGGTCACGTAGCCCGATATAATGACAACAGGTGGACACGGAGAATTCTAAAATGGAGACAAGAAAGATGGGTAGATGACAGAGCAGTGGCAGGCAAACAGTGGTTTAGATTGGCGCAAGATAAAGAAATATGGAAGCAATTGGTAGAGACCTACATTCAGGAGTGGATGGAAAATGGTTGACAAAGAAGAAGAAGAGTTGCTAACTAGACTAAACTCTGCTTTACATAAGATTGGTTTAAAGAAATATCCGTACAAAAACCTAGAATAGAACAAACTTAGTTCTTAATTTTAATATATTCCTAAACAATGTAGAAATTGAGGTATATTACAACTATTACTCTTAAGATATTTTCTTGTTGCATCTTCATACAATTTACACGTGTATGAGAATGGTGAAGCTTGAATTGAAAAGGAATATAATCGTCTAGTTTCATTCTAACGTATTGTTACTTTATCTGTCTGACTCACACCCCAAGTAAATATGTATTGCTGACGCCAAGCTAACTATAAACAAGTATTTCTAGGAAAATTCATTCAATGAAACAGAAATATTCGTAACGTGATCGAAGGATCTACTTATTTCTAAACGATATAAATGCAGAACGAATTTAGATTTAGTTTATACAGTCTCGCGAAACCTCGCAATGTAAACGGACACACCGGAGAACCAGTTCCAGACCAGAAAACCAGTGCTCAAGAGAAGACAACAGCAACGGTCCAAATCAGAAACCCCTGAAACGGGTCGCGAAATGGCAAATACGTGCATCAACAGGCGCGAAATCCGCGAACGGAATCACGGTACCAACGGGTCGAGAATCTGGACGCGTGGACCATCAGATACAAACTTTAGATGCGAAATTGCGTGGAGGTATAAGAACAGTGCATGTAAGGTACTAAAACCGGTAATCAAGCATCAAAAACGAACGGGCGTGGAACCAGCCGGTCGATAATTCCTAGAACCGGTCATTAATAGATGACAAGGGAATATCGACATTAGCTGCTGTATTAGTAGCTCCTCAACCGAATTGTCTGAGTGCATACTTAACCCAGATAAAGCCAACACGCACACACAAAAATCACACACACATACACACACACACCCTCTCAAACCCAACTCAAACCCTCAATGATACACATACAATTTACATACATCAACACAATTCATACACTTACAAATTACACATACACACACATCATACCATACACCTTCAAATTACACAATTCATACACACATAAATACACTCGTACACATCACACCAATATGCCACGAACACGATCACGAGCGCGAAAACAGAAAGAACCACCAAATTTACCAGAATGGGACACAGACGCAGAAACACATTGCACAACATCACAAAGATCACAAGTGTCTATCACTATAGATGGACACGGACCAAGGACGCAACAGGATTGGTAGGCGGCTCTGACAGAAGTCTGCCTAAAAAATTCTGAGGTGGCCAGCAAATACATCACACCAATAGTCTATAAAATACACAAAGAACAGAAAAAATCAACCAATCATACCCAAGCTCATCAAAAAAATAGTACACACACACCTCAGCCGAAAACTCACCCATATTCTCACCATCATCTTCACCCCTATTTCCACCTACACCAACACACACACACACACATGCCTCAAAACAGACACAACACACATACCTACACACACATACACATATACACACACATACACATACACACACACCACAAACACAAATATTGCATCACACTAATCCCGAAAAAGTTTTTTTCTAGCCATAGAAAATTTTTCGGAATCCTCAATAACCACAATCTCGTCGGAGTGATCCCTTTTGACCTAGAAATCGAATCATCAGAAAACCAGGCCATCACAAATAAGAGAGTGGGAAGAGGATCTGAAAGCCATCACAAATCATACTCACATAACCGTATCCAAGCGAAAACCCACAGATAGAAACAACACAACACCAAGAATACTCACCACACCAAAGAAAACACAAAGAAACACACATACAGAGCAACATAATCCTATCCCGTCCACATCCAAAGAAGAATCACTTTACTACGATCCTCCACCCCTAAATCTCTGTACCCACTTATCCCTAAAAACACAAGACACACTCTCACCAACACACTCAACCAACACCATCACCCATACACACACCCACATACACACGCGCCACACCTCAACAAACAATATTCACTCAACCACAAACAGCCGACACACAAAACACACAATAATCACCACACACGATCCGAAATTACAGAATCGATGACATCCCCCCAGATATCTGTCAGCAGAGACCTTTCTACAGACTTATCAAAGATCACAACCTAATACCTCAATTAGACTCAATCAAAGTCTTCTTTGCCCGAAAGGCAGCCTCACTGAGAACTACCGAATATCTAGACCTCAAAAATCTCACGACAAAACTACGACAAATCACTCGAGATGACACCATCTCAATAAACTCAGGATATAAATCCAAAAAAAACCCTAATCCGCAACCCGTTCCAAATGATCCACAAATCTTTCATCTAGTCATTGCCGGCGTCGACAAAAAACTTTCCCAGAAAATCATCGAGGATAACTTATCCAAAAATAAATTTCCTTTCACTAAAATACTTCGCATAATTGCCCGCATCACTAACCAACCCACTTGTTATATCATATTTTTTACAAACTCAGAAACTAAATTCGCCGATACACTTTCGAATGCCATCAAGATCGAAGGAGAACGGCTTAATTGTGAGGTTCCAAATCTCAGCAGCGAATGCACAGAAAAATCATTTGCTTGTCCATTCTGTGGACAACAACACAGGTCTAATGCTTGCCCCCAGATATCTGATCCAAAATCTCCCAACTGTCATGGGAGCCATCCCGCATTCTCACCAATATGTCCACACCGCAGAATACAACCCAAAAATTTAAAACAATCAACCTGTACACTCACCTAAATAAATCTCCTCATATGACCTTCCCTCGGACATGAAATCCTTAATTCATTTTACTTCCATGATTTTTTTAATTGTCTTCCCTGCAAAAAGGAATGACACTATCCGTTATTTCAACCAAATGTCCGACACACTGTATGGGTACGCCATATCTACCTCCTGTTATAATAACTCAATAAACCAAATCTTCACCCATCTGCGCATATAAACACAACACTCACATGCACTCCGCTACACACCTATTTTTTTTTCCAACACACATCATCCAGATATATACTTATCATTTACCAACATACACACTTGACCCCCACCAAACTCACCATCATAAACATATAAACACTTAAAGAAAAAGCCAACAACACACAACCAACAACTTCATAAACACAAACATCCATAATATCAAACATCAAACAGTGAGCACCATATACACTCCTTAACTTAAGGGTCGAATTCAAATCACAAGGACAGGGGGAGATTGGTTTTATGTGGTTTTCCAATCTCATTGCACAACGATACCTGATCCTAGGAGAGGATATAGTTACAGCTATCCTCCACGTGTTTGGTCTTGGAGAATCAAGAGAAACGACGAGGTTAATGAGTTAAATGAAGGTTATGACATTGTAAGATTTGTGAAAACTCAAAGACAGTCATGGCTGGGACATGTGCAGAGACAAAACGATGCAAAAACAACAAAGAAAATGTTACAATGGAAGCCCATAGGAAGGCAAAAAAAAGGAAGGCCCAGAACGAGATGGTTGGATGGCGTAGAAGACGACCTGAAAACAATGAACATAAGACAATGGAGAAGAAGGGCACAAGAGAGATCTGAATGGAAGGACATAGCCAGACAGGCAAAGACCCATCCAGGGTTATGATGCCAAAAGAAGAAGAAGATCCTCCACGTGTTTAAAACAAAAGGCCAACAATTTGAAAAGGACCGTTTTCCCATGGAACTTGCACTTAGTAGCAAGCTTGGTCCATACGGCATCCAAAAGGTGGAAAGTCTTCTGACACTCGTGTTTTACAACTACAGCCACGCCCTGTCTCGGAGAGCGGCAACATGAGACTCACGTTTTAACCAACAAAATGGCCACCATCCCTGAAGAGGCGCGATAGCCTAAACAAGGTAAAAACGTTGGATCGAGATTTAGTTTTAATCTATTTTATAAATTCGTTGTTGTTAAGTTCGAAAATAAATACTGTAAATAAAGATAGGTTAAAGTCTAGAGAACGTTCCGATTGAAGTTAGCTGCAAAGAAACTTCAGTAAAACACAAATTTGCGTTTACGGTATTGCAGTGTCCTAATTATGTATATGTTTTATGGTTCAAATATGCTTTGGAACAGTACTTTTTTATTATATTATTTTATGGAGTCTGGTAAAACACTAGTTGCCAGATTCCAACAGAACTTCAGCTGATTTCAATTTTATGACTATTTCATTATCATTTTGGGAGGATATGGTACCTAAATACCGTTTTGTTAATGTATTAGTTAGTTACTGGAACTTGTTCAGTTCGTCTTCGTCAGTACATTTACATTGTGTGAATTTGTGTGTTTGGTAAATAAAATTACCAATACATACCAACAATACAGCATGGTTCAGAAAATAAATAAAAGAGAAATGTAAAGAGAAGCGAGAGGCCCACATGAAGTACAAAACATCAAATACCCCAGCATCTAGAGACAACTATAGAAGAATACGAAATGAAACAAAGCAGTTGGTAAGAAGAACAAAAAATAAACACTGGGAACAGTTTACAAAAAGGATGGAAAGCGAAAGCAAAGTAGAAATAGCCATAAATATGCTCAAAAATAGAAAGTCGCCAGGACCAGACGGAATAACCAACGAGCTTCTAAAATACAGAGGAGAAAGTTTAATCCTAGAGATGACAAAACTTATACAAAAACTAATATTGCACTGCAAGATACCAGATGCATGGAGAAACAGCATAATGATGCCAATGTTCAAGAAAGGAAATAAAGAAGACCCCAACAATTGTAGAGGTATAAATCTACTGAACACTGCACTTAATCTTACCACAAAAGTCCTAACCAATTAAATCAATAAAGTAACAACTTTATCAGATGAACAACAAGGATTCAGATCCGGAAGATCCTGCGTAGACGCCGTATTTGTACTAAGACAAATCACAGAAAAGGCCATCGAGTACAATAAACCAGCATATCTATGTTTTATAGACCTGACAAAGGCTTTCGATCGCATCCAAGTCGAAGACGTCTTACACCTACTGTATAAAAGAAACATACCAACCAATATTATAAAAACCATCGAAAACATCTACCTCCAAAATCGAATACAGGCAAAGATAAATGGAAAACTAACACAGTGTATACCAGTACAAAGCGGAGTCAGACAGGGTGACTCGTTAAGCCCACTTCTCTTTAATATAATAATGGACGAAATAATACAAGCAGTACGTAAAGTTCATGGTTACAGAGTGGGGAACAACGAAATCTAAATATTATGTTATGCAGACGACGCCGCATTAATCGCCGAGACAGAAGACGAGCTCCAAAGATTAACACATATCTTCAATGCAACAGCTAAGAAATACAATATGATAATATCAGCACACAAAATCAAATGTATGAGAACATATAAATACCCACTACGGTGTAAAATCGAAATTAATGGGAAAATAATAAAGAAGGAAGCAAGGTTTAGATATTTGGGAATAGATATCACTAGTTACGGACATGTTGAAGAAGAAGTACGACAACAAAGCTTAAAAGCAAGTAAAGCGGCGGGTTCTCTTAATGTTGCAGACTGAAAGAACAAACACCTAAGACAAGACACAAAAACAAGAATCTATAAAGCAGCAATTAGACCTATATTAACATACACGGCGGAGACAAGACATGACACATCTAAAACGAAACGACTGCTAAAAACAACAGAGATGAAAATATTTAGACGAATATCAGGGAGAAGTCTATTGGATAGGGAGACAAGCGAAAACACAATAAGAGCATGCAATATAGATGACATAAATGGATGGATCACAAAACGAAAACAGGATTGGAACGAACCTGTCAGTAGAATGGCCGAGGATAGAATAGTACGAATAGCACGAGATAAGTCGCCAAATGGACGAAGAAGTATTGGCAGACCAAGAAAAAGATGGTGCGACAATTAAGGAGGCTAATATTGAAGAAGAAACAGGCTTTAAAGCCTACATACTAGAAGGAAGAAAAAGAAGAAGGTAAATAAAATTTCAATTAGTTAGTTACTGGAACTTTTTCAGTTCGTCAACATTTATATTGAGTGAATTTGTGTGTTCGGTTAATAAAATTTCAATTAAATTAATATTATAGGGCATGCTCTTTCGTGATTTAATATAAGGACATAGCAATACTGCCAAATACAAAATTTCCTTCATTTGTAGCTAACTTTAATCGGAACGTCCTCTAGACCAGGGTTTCTTAATATTTTTATTAGATGGAACCCTTTTTAGTAGTCACTTTTATTGTGGAACCCCTGGTTTGTCTGAGTCTCTCTCTTACATTAAATCCCGACCCCCAGAGGGAGTGTAGTGGTTGGCGTGATGTCGTGTATTTTCTATCTCCAAAGATCTTTGTCTCTGGTCATTTCTTTTAACACATGCATATATTTTTTACATATTTCTGTAATTTGATCGATCCATCTTATTAGGGATCTTTCTTGCTATTTGGGCCTTCCACCTTGCCTTGTATAATCCAGTCTTTCCTAATCCAATTGGAGTCTTTCCATGTTTTCTGTGATTGCTCTATGAGTTTGCATAATGAATTTACTTCAAAATGCCGAGTAATACATTTATTTTATGCATTTGCAATGAAAGGAATTTACTAGAAGGAACTGTTTTTATCTCTTTTAATGCTGCTTAATTCAGCATATCTAAATATTAAACGATATACTTACTTTCCATAATGATATATGATCGGTTTCAACAGCTTCAGGAGTAAATTTATCAATGCCTTCATATTTAAATGCTACAGGAAAATGAATAAGATACAAGTCCACATAATCAAGTTGAAGATTTTCTAAAGACTTTTTCAAAAACGTTTCGACTGCATCGGCGTGCGCCCCCTAAAATTATGTTAAAAGTTATGAGTAACTAGATATGTTTATTACAAAGAAATGGATTAACCCTGCAGTAGACGCGCCCGGACTGTAAGTCCGGCCCATATGTTATGCACCCATAACTTTTATTATTAGACAGCACTCAGTCAAGCTTTTAAAAGTATCTGTTAGAAATAGGTAAAGAAATAATAAATCAGACTTACTCACAATCAATTTAATTTAACTATCCGACGACCGGTTTCGCTTTCTACAATATGCAAAGCATCTTCAGGTCTCGGTACAAAGTTAAACAAATGCTGAAATGATAAAAACCCATATTAGGGTGTTGTCTAATAAAGATAAACAAATTAGATGTTATAAATTACAATAATTATGCCAATATTACCTGTCTGTGGTTTTATTTAAATGATTGAGTTGAATAAAAGGTATAAATATTTTTTTAAAAAAGATAAAAGGACAAGGTAAGGCCCACAAGTTGTCATAAAATCTCTTCTATTGGAATAAATTAATGAATGAGCAAATAAATAAATGAAATAAAATAAAATTACTTACATGCCGGTACTCTATTAATAGATGGATGGTAGAACATGTTTGAAACTACTGTATATTGTTGAATGGAGAACTCAATACTATTATTGCAGTTGTTTGACAGTAAACGGGAAGTTCTTGAGGAGGTAGATTTGATCCAATGAATTTGAGATGTGTGTGAGATTGTTTGTTAAATGTAAGTGGTGTAATATATTATTGTGTTATTAAAAGTTATTTATACTTATTCATTTCAAAAATAACAATTTTTGAACACATTTCAAAAATATGTCTCTGAAAAAAAAAATATATATATCTCTGGAATAAGTATAAATAACTTTTAATAACACAATAATATATTACACCACTTACATTTAACAAACAATCTCACACACATCTCAAATTCATTGGATCAAATCTACCTCCTCAAGAACTTCCCGTTTACTGTCAAACAACTGCAATAATAGTATTGAGTTCTCCATTCAACAATATACAGTAGTTTCAAACATGTTCTACCATCCATCTATTAATAGAGTACCGGCATGTAAGTAATTTTATTTTATTTCATTTATTTATTTGCTCATTCATTAATTTATTCCAATAGAAGAGATTTTATGACAACTTGTGGGCCTTACCTTGTCCTTTTATCTTTTTAAAAAAAAATTTATACCTTTTATTCAACTCAATCATTTAAATAAAACCACAGACAGGTAATATTGGCATAATTATTGTAATTTATAACATCTAATTTATTTATCTTTATTAGACAACACCCTAATATGGGTTTTTATCATTTCAGCATTTGTTTAACTTTGTACCGAGACCTGAAGATGCTTTGCATATTGTAGAAAGCGAAACCGGTCGTCGGATAGTTAAATTAAATTGATTGTGAGTAAGTCTGATTTATTATTTCTTTACCTATTTGAAATGGACTCACAAAGCAACAAATTCATGATTTGTATCTGTTAGAATTGTTTCAGTGTGCATTAGTCTCGAAGGACACAGTTCGGCGTTCAGTCGTATGAGATATATTATCATTTTTGTCATCAAAAGTAATATTATTTTTTTGTACTGATAATGTGTGATTATGAAAGAGAACAGAACCGGCTGTGTGATTATGAAAGAGAACAGAAACGGCTTCAAAAGCTCATGGAAGAAGTTGAAAGTGACGCAGAGTCAGAAAGTGAGTTCGAGGAATCTAAAAGTGAGGATGATTTCATTTTACAAGGAGACCTTTTCAAGAAGACATGTGAAATTATTGACGAAAATGAAATATTTTTTTTTTTCGGTAAAGATAAAGTTACAAAGTGGAAAAAACATTGTGCGCCTAAAAAAAGAAAGTAAAAACCAGAAGCGAAAATTTGATAAAAGTTTTACCGGGAGTGCCTCGTAATCTTCAACATTTAAAATCTCCTGTTGATATGTGGAATACATTTTTTACAAATAAAATTCTCAATACTATAGTTTTGCATACAAATCAGAAGATAGAAGCAGTGTCTACTAACTTTGTTCGTGAGAGGGACCATAAACCAACCAATACTGCAGAAATTAAAGCATTACTTGGCCTGCTTTACCTTGCAGGTGTTCGTAAAGCAAATCGTCTCAACACTGAAGATCTCTGAAAGACCGACGGCACACGAATCAAAGCATTTCGTCTAACTATGAGTATAAGCAGATTTAGATTTCCAAAGCGTTACCTTCGATTTGATGATCTAAGTACTCATGATCAGCGCAAACAACTAGACAAATTAGCGCGTATCAGAGACATTTTTTACCAGTTCATTCATAGCTGCAAAACAAATTATGTTCATTCTGAATATGTCACGGTGGACGAGAAATTTAAAGGATTTAGAGGTCGATATACATTTCGATAGTACATACTGTCTAAACCAAATAAATATGGTATCAAAATTTTGGACTATGTGATGCCAAAATGTTCTACACGAGTAATATGGAAGTTTACGTAGGCACTCAACCGAATGGTCCATACAAAACAGATAATACTGCCAAATCTATTATAGAACGTTTGTGTGAACGGATATATGGATCCAACCGGAATGTAACAACTGACAACTGGTTTACCAGTTTACCTCTTGCTATGAGTCTCAAGTCACATAAGCTTACTTTTTTAGGGCGATACGCAAAAATAAATCGGAATTACCCCTAGAGTTCATACAAGGTAAGAGACCAGTTGGATCTGGTATGTTTGCGTTTAGACCAGATTGTACATTGGTGTCCATAAATTCAGTTAGCAATAAGCCAGAAATTATAGAGTGGTATAATTCAACAAAGTGCGGAGTGGACGTTGTGGACCACTATTGTGCTCAATATAATGTTGCCAAAAATACAGGAAGAAGGCCACTCATGATATTTTATAGTATGCTGAATGTTGCAGGGATAAATAGCCTTATTATATATATTCATATATTGGTCAACATTGTGAAGAGCCGTAAGCTGGAGTACTTGGGACATATAATGAGAAATCAAGGCAGATACGACCTATTCCAATGCATTTTGCAGGGTAAAATTGAAGGAAAAAGAGTCCCAGGATGAAGACGAATATCCTGGCTTGCTAACCTGAGAGCATGGTATAGAAAGACCTCAACACAGCTATTTCGTATAGCAACAAACAAAATGATCATAGCCAGAATGATCGCCAACGTTCGGAACGGACAGGCACCCTAAGAAGAAGAATGATATATTCTGCAAATAACCCAAATTTAAAAATTAAACGTAGAATTTTCCTTTTACAACTTTTCCAGCCATTAGTATATGACGAACAGAAAGTACGTGCGACTATGCCAAATCTTCCGAAAACTCTAAAAGTCAGACTACAAAAACTTTGCGGTACAGAAGAAGAAGTTGTTCCGGTACAACCCATAGCTAATAAAAGAGGACGTTGCAGTATTTGTGATTCTAAGGAAAATCGACCAACAAAATATTTTTGTATTTTCTGCAAAATGTATCTGTGCTTAGAACATGCTAGCATTATTTGTAATAATAATTGTTCCCAAGAAAAGTAGGTTATTTGAAATGTTTTTACCTATACGTGTTTTCATTAATGTTTGTATTATTTTTGTAAATTACATATATAAGTTTAAGTTTTTTTACAACTTTAATAATATAAAACGTTTTTACAACTAGCGGGAGTAGTTTTTTGTTATCGGACTCTCAGTCCGGTCGCGTCTACTAAAGTTATCAAATTAAACGCGTGTACTGCAGGGTTAAAGGCGCCCTAAAACATTTGGAACAAACATCCATACACACATTAATTAACTATACACTCCTGTAGAAGTTGTAGCTAAATCGTTTATTACCAGCCAACACAGTTGGGGAGTCTGTCCACACTAACCCTCATGTGAGTGTAGTTTCGAGTAAGGACATATATGTCGTTTAATTTCATACTTTTAAGTATGCAATATTTAAAATAAACCCTTTCTCTGCTTGGTGATGAGGTTATATAGAAAGTAGTCCAAAGTTCACTAAAGATGGTATGATAAGATTGAAAACGTTCATTCTGAACAAATTCAACAATTATAATCCATTTGGATTTTTTAATTTAGTGCTTTTGCATTAAATATACACCAATTAGGTACAACAGAAGTTTTTACATCAATGTAAAGTTTTGTATTTAAAAAAGGAAAAGACAGTAAAAAAGTCTTGGTTTCGAAAATTAGTTTACGGGTTTTGTATTTTAATTGAAGTTGCTGGGCGGGTTTAGATTTAAACTACGTTTACAAAATAGCATTACAAAACATATAGCAACAATTTTTATTTTAAATTATATAATCAAAAATTATATTAGGTATATCTTAATGTCCCTAAATAAACTTCATAAAGTTATTATTTATCCTACCTGAAATGGTAACTTGGTTGTAACAAATATTTCTTCCCTTTTTATTCTTCCTGAAGATAACCATTTATTAAGAACCTTACCAACACTCTTTTCGGTATTGTAAAAAAATGCTGTATCGAAATGGCGATAGCCCACCTCTAAAGCAGCATCGATAGCTTTTTGAACTACTTCTTCCTTTTCGTGGTAACTCTAAAACAATAGTTATTCTTTAAAAATATATTCAAGAAGAAGAAAGATGGATTTGAAATAAACATGCGGAAAACAAAAGAGATCAAATAAGTATCAAATATTGAACATTAAGCAATTAATTGTAATAAAAATTATTATATGTTTTGTTTTATTTTGAACTTCAGAATTTTCTTAAAACGATTTCCGGATTGGAAATTTAAACGTCAAAATAAAACAAAAATGTTTCAGAAACATATAAGGAAATATATAAACCAAAAGAAACCATCATCAATTCATAGCAAGCGATCAGCCACGTGGTTAATACGCTCCGCATAAGTAGTAAAAAATGGACTGGGACTACGGAATGAAAGAGGCTACCTCAGATCTGTTAATAACAGAACATAACTGTTATAAATACATGGTTTAAATTACCAGTTCGGAGATAATACACGTGGAAATCGCTACAAGACGATAAAGAAAATTGCATCAGAAATCAGATAGACTGCTTAATAGATCAGATAGGTAATGATTAACCAAAGCTACCAAAATAGTACTTTATGTTCAAAACTCTTCACCGGTGCAGTGTTCCCATCGACCACACGTTGTTTATAGCCAAATTTAAAAAGAAACCCAAGTTGTGGTCTGAATTAATAACAATAATTAAATATACTGAAGAAATCAAAAATATAAAAACCAACAGACAATAAATACTGATTAACTATTGAAAATAATAAATTTGAGAAGACAACATAAGAATAAGGATAACAGCAAAGAATAGACTATTCAATAAGTTTTACAGTTCGATAATAAAAACACGATTTTCTTATTTAAAATAAACACTATTATTGAGTTTAGTCTCCTTGAACATGAATGCACTTGTTCCAACGAGATTCCAATTTATGAATTCCATCTCTGGAGTGAAAATCTGGAAATCGTTACAAAATACGCTCCCACAGTTGTGGATAGGCTACATCTATCTATAAAAAGGCTATGATGACAAGTCACACCGTTTGTCCAGTAAACTAACGACGCCATCTAGGAAAGAAATCTGAACTACCACCATTTGACATTTCAATCGTATTTTGTTCTTGAACGATACGATTAATTAATAATACTGTATTCATTACATATTAATATAAAAAATAATTAATTTTAATAATATTTCAGGTAATTTAAGGTTAATAATACAAAATAATTTAAAGCTTTGTATTAGTTTAAATTTAAAATCGTAACGTCATATAAACAAAAAAATCTGAACTAGGGTAGACCGGGATCAAAAATAATATTTTTAATTTAAACACCAATTTCGGGAAAACTATAACAGATATAAACAAATTTTCTCATTCTGGCCTTAATTGCATGTTTAAGCAATATTTAAATAGGTTATTAAGGTTTTTAAATAATTACAGTTTTTAATTATTTGTGAAAAATTGTCCCAGCGGCAAATATTACAACTGCCCCCAATCCCGGTGCGGTTGTAATAGCACGTGGGGTCGATAGTAACAGTGATAAAACAGCTTAAACAAACGATGTTTATTTAATGTAAATACAAAAGTTATACAAAAGTACAAGAGAAGTTATATTCTTAAGTAAAATAAAAACAAAAACTTATGCTTTACCAGGAGGAATAGTGAACTTAACATAACGAATTTTATGCTATACGGAGAGGAACAATGAACCTAAAGAACCTAAAATATTATGGATCAATCTGATTCGCAATTCTGGCAAACGTATAAACCTTCTTGATTTGTGCATTCTTCATGTGACAAACGTTTACATTCAATGTATTAAACCGTTGATTGAATAACCCATTTGGGTTATTCAATCAACGATTAAACGCAACCTTCCCCTGGCTTACTTGTACCATATGGTTCACAGCATACAAGACAAAAACACTCTTCATCTTCTTTATCACTCTCTTGTTGTTTTTTAAATGATTTATTTTTTTAAGATCTTTTGGTTTTAGTTTAGGAATATTGGTGCTTTTGTTTCACTAATAGTAGTATCGGATTCCAAAATGAAAAATATGCACATAGTAACTAGGTTGTTAGATTCTTTTAATAATTACAAAACACATTTAATTATATATAAAAAAGACTCAAGAAAAAAGAGTAAATATAAAAAAATATCCAGAGTGTAATAGAAATTTTTCAAAACTTTCAATGAGTCTTCTATATAATATATAAAATATTGGTTTTAGGTTCTGACAAATTCGTGATACATCTTGGATATGTTTTTCCAGGTACCAATCAGGTAGGAATAAATAATTCTGTATTCTTGATAAGAAGTTTAAATTGAGATAATAGAAATGGGTTTTTACAAGGAGATTCTGATTATAAAGTAAAGCCATTTTTAAGAAGTCCACTAAACAATCCAGTTTCAATAACGAATTTCATATTAGAACCAAATATGCAACATAACTTTTTATGCATGGAAGAGAAGGTCTAGGCACTATTTCATCCAATGGGAGTGGCTGTAAGGTTGAAAAGTATTCAACAATTCTAATCTACAGCAACATTCTATGAGTATAATCTAGCGAGAGATCAAAATTAAGACAATTTTGAAGATGAATTGCTAAATGAAGACATTACGTAACTTTTTGAAGTTGGAGATGTTTGAGTTATCCTTATATAATATTTTAGTATTATGGAAAACCTAAGAATCCTGAAGAATCCTTAAACATGTATTATTTTTTATTTGTTATTAAATTTTTCTTCACATAATTTAATTTATTCCCGCCACCACAAATTGCATAATCGAAAGAGATATTAAAACACTATTGTGATTTCTTTGACAATTAATTAAATGACTATCTCCAGATAAATATTGTCCTATCTGTCAGATAGGATAATATTTATCTGGAGATGAAAAAATCGGCCCTTTCATGCAAGAAGTTTGTTATTTAAAAAAATTAATTTTTAATTATTTTGCAAAATTTTTTTGATCCTAGAAAATTGGCTGCGAATTTGGTGATCGGTAAAAAATATAATACAAAACTCGTGCTTTCCCAACAAATAAATTGCCAAACTAGAATTATTCTAGTTTTATACGAAGATCGATTTGATAAGACGACGCAAAAAGTTCAGCGACTCTCCAAAAGTGACTTATTTGTTATGAAAGTTCTTCAACAAATTCAAATATTATTCTGTTGTCATCCTAGCTTTAAATAGGAGAAAGACAGAAAAATTAAGTGGAGTGATTGTGTGAGTGGAGCAATTGGTTTGATCCCCCGTCGCATAGTGACGGGCAAAATCCTTAGTCCTTTAGATCAAACAGTTTCCGCGTATTTAGATATTAAAACAGATGTAAGTCACTAGGGGCCAAATCTAATGAATACGGTAGATATATAACAATTCGTACTTCAATTCATGAATTTTAGCTATTGTCAAAATGCTCATATGAGTCGGTGCATTTTCCTGATGAAATTTTTGTTTTAGGCAAAACAGATCTTTTTTCACAATTTTTTTCCTTAAAATGGTTTAAAAGGTTACAATAATATTCCTAATTTACTATTTTACAAGTTTGCAAGTAATCCACAAACAAAATTCCTATCGCATCCCAAAAAATGTATGCTAATACCTTCTTGATTGAGATTGCATTTGCATAATCAATTGCACAAAACAGAAAGGAATGGAAAGGAAAGAGTAACCATCAAAGCTATTCAAAAATGTTTATATATTGATCTTTAATAAGACAAGTATTTAGTTTGGCAGTGGATAAAATTTGAATAGTTATGATGGTAACCAACGAACGGAAAAACTGCAGCACATGAAGAAGAGAAGAATAGATGCTTTTTTGGTATATCAAAATAATTAAAATCAAGGGGTATCTTGAGAAGTATAAAAACTAAAATTTAGAAAACTCTGATAAGACTAGATTTAACATAAGGTTCAGAAACGTAGGAAAACTTTTAAAAGAAGAAATTTCATAAAAACAAATAAAATCAAGCGATTGAGATGATTGGGGCATGTCTTAAGGATGGAAGATTAAGACTGGATCCTAAAGTCGATGTTAAAAACTATTAGTACGGAGACAACGCTGGAAGACCAAAAAAAAATACTGGATGGTGTGGAAGCAGATCTACAGGTACTGAAAAAATAAGAACACGGGAAAGAGTGGCCCTGAATACGAAAAGCTAATCTTTTAAGGAAACGCAAGGCTTATCAAAAACCGTAGAGCTGTAATAAAGAAAATAAATGATGAAACTGGGAAAAATATTACGTAAAAACAAGGAAAACTGTAAATCTTTGAGAAATTTAAAGTTTAAAAAAACAGATTTAGCGACCAGATGTCTTTAGGCTCAAAAATTTGGTTAAAGGCAATAAAAAACATTTACTTATAGAAATATTGCAGAAAATATAGAATTTTTAACAAAATCCAAGTTAATTTTTGAGAATAATGTCATTTTTTCAATTACAATTACACATATATTTAACCTGTGGTCAACCTATAAACAGCCTTAATAATATCCCTAGTTTATTTATTAATTATTAATATATAATATCTTACAGTTCCAAGTCCAATAGTTGGGATCTTAAATCCTTCTTCCAGGACACGAAATGTTTCTGAATTAGCCATAGTTGAAGAAGCGAGCAGAAAAACTAAAAAGACTTGCTTTCTAGTGTACTCGTATAATATGGACTTAAAACACATTTTAACTATAAATAATTATAGTTTTTCAAATTCACATAAAACAACAAGAAATTGGTTTTTGGTAGTTTCAGGTTTTTGTGCGGAAGTTCATAGTCGTACCTAAAGGGACGAATTATTGATAACAGATATTATAACTTATTATAATTTATATTTTATTATGTTGTTTATTCATGTTCTTTGCTCTTTCTTCTTCTTCTTCTTCTTCTTCTATTATTTTGTTTAGGAGTCTAAAAAGATGCCAAAAAGGCTCCAATCCATCCTTGGGAGTGAGTTAGAGCTCATTGGACAAGAGTACACCTCGATTTTACCGGTCCATTTAAAGGCAAATTGTTTCTGATTATCATAGACTCGTACTCGAAGTGGTTGGAGGTTAAAATCGTTCTAAATACCTCTAGTGTTATAGCCATAGATGTGTTACGTGGTTTATTTATCACTCATGGTATCCCAGATGTTGTCGTATCGGATAATGAAACTAGTTTTACGTCAGCTGAGTTTCAAGATTTTTTAAAGAAAACCCTTATTAGTCAAGCATTGGCTGCACCGTACCATCCAAGTAGTAATAGAAAAGCGGAATTTGTAGCGTTTTATTGTCGTTACAAATTTATGGTAGAAAATGTAAAAAATACAATTAAAAAATGGTATATAGTAATGAACAAACTAACATTCAATTAACGTTGCATAGATATCTCCTTATTAAGCACATTACATACCATTGTGCAGCAGGTAGGTGCCAATCAAAAATATTAATGGAACCAATCAGAAATATTAATGGGCCAATCAAAAATATTAATTATCCTGACCAAGCAGTACCCAGATGTTTTCAAGAAAACGGAACTGTATTTGCAAGATCATTTGCTCCAGTTCAAAAGTGGCTTTAGTCCAAAATATTTGAAACTACTGGACCGTTAAGCTACAAAGTTCAAATCCCTGATGGTAAAATTTTACGTCGTTATTCTGACCAAATCATAACCTATGTGTGTGACCAAGAAAAAACAGACGAAGTTATACCGTCAACCTCGATGGAAATAAAATTACTGGTAACCCCGCAACCGCCATTTCCGCTTCCAAACGAATACGAAGTTAAAAAAGGCTCGAATAATAAAACCTCCAAGGTATTTTTAGGACTATGATGGGTAAATATTCATCCAGGAGAGAGAATTATGTGAAGTATTGGTAACCGTGCAGTGCGGTTATGTCACAATCAGCTGATAAAAAACTCGACGATATAGATGTTCGACCAAAGAATGTAGACGCATACGCATATATATTCTTTGGTTAGACTATCGGATTTCTTTTGTTATTATTTTCCTTGCATTTTGGAGTGATAATTAAAGCCAGTAATTATACAATACTGTTTTTATTTATTTACAACTGGTCTGATACAAATCAGAGGTGCAACATGAAACTATGGAAGAATTCTGCTATTTAGGGTTGTTGGTCGACAGAAAAAACAAAACAATAAAATATGAGTGGCCAATCGCTATTATTTTGGTCTAAGCCCTCAACTAAGAGCGAGAAATATTTAAGGAGCAGCAAAGTGCAAACTTTATAAAAAAATAATATGCCTAGTGGTTACTTACGCATCGAAAACATGGACAATGACGGCACGAAGAGTTACTACGAAAGAAAAGTAATATTGAGGACCATATATTTATAGTTAAGGTAACGAACAGTCTCTATAGAGAAGGCGATATAACATAATCCATTTGATTGATTAATTGATTAGAAGTTTTCAGTATTATGTATGTAGATATTGGTTTCTACTTGAAATCTCAAAGATAACCAGATAGATACATGTGAAAGTATTGTATCATTCAAACTCTCCGGATCCATGGTTTTCGGCATAAAATCTGAGTGTATAGTGTATACACTCGTCCTCCAACGTCCTCAAAAAGTTAACGTCTGGACTGGCATTTTAGGAGACCACATAATAGGTCCATTTTTATTGAGGGCAACTTGAATAGTAGAGTATACCTCGATTTGTTACAGAATCATGTTCTTCCCGCTATTCTCAATCTTCCTGATGTAAATCTGGACAATGTTTGGTTTCATCAAGACGGCTGTTCAGTTCACAACGCTCGAATTATTAGGGAGTATTTAAACAATACTTTTCCGAATCGAGTTATCAGTGGAACAGGCGATATTAAGTGGCCTGCGCGATCTCCAGATCTTACACCCATGGACTTCTTTTTTGGGGACATTTAAAAAGCATTATCTACGCTCATCCTGAGGCTAGAGCCCAAAATTTGGATGAATTAAAAAATCGAATAAGAGAAGTCTCCAACTCTGTTACAGCAGAAACTCTTTCATCTGTTCGCAGAAGTTTTTATGACAGATTGGGGTACTGTTCAGCCGTAGAAGGTCAACTATTTGAACCATTTCTGTAGGTCATAAAGAATTATTTTTTATTTTATTAGGAATAATATTTTAATTTTCAATAAGAGTATATTTTTTATTTTATCTTTTTAAAGAAATACGCTTTTATTTTTAATTCAACCAGAAAAAAATTTTCACATTAATAAAAATCGATAACAATGCACCCATTAGTTCAGTGCATTTTTATCGAATTTCCTACTATTAAAATCGGCTTAACGTAATGAAACATGAGATCGGACGACAGAGAAGTACATCCCTAACGTTGTTGTTAGTTACTAAACTAAAATAAATGATTTTCTGTGGAGTGTGGGTGTAGATTTTCGGGTCGGAGAACGAACATTTGCAACGTTGCCGATTTAAGCGCTCCGTATAGTGTGCAATACCTAATCAAAAACTTAACGCATTGTACTATTATACTATATCTACAATCTTCTTCTTCTTCTTCAGCCTGTGTTCGTCCACTGCTGGACATAGGCCTCTTCCATTTGCTTCCATCGATTTCTACTTTTGGCAATTCTCATCCACTGCTTGCCCGCGACTTGTTTGATATCGTCTGTCCACCTCTTCTGCGGTCTGCCTACTCCTCGCCTGTTCTCTCTTGGTCTCCAGTTTGTTAATCTTCGTGTCCATTTTTCGGGATTATCCCGGGCAACGTGTCCGACCCATTGCCACTTGAGCCTTGCAATACGTTCTGAGACATCAGTAATTTTTGTTCTTTCACGAATGACGTTATTTCGAATCCTGTCTCTCAAACGAATCCCTAGCATGGCCCTCTCCATTGCTCTTTGGGTTGTACTGAGCTGCTCTAAGGTTTTCTTTGTGAAGGCCATGATCTCCAGTCTATATGTAGTTACAGGCAAGATACATTTGTCATAAACTCTACGTTTTAGACACATTGGTATATCTTTATTCTTCTTTATTTGCCGAAAGCTCCCCAAGACAGTTGTATGCGTCTTTTTATTTCGGCTATTTGATTTTCTTTGCCGATTTTAATGGTATGTCCAAGATATATATAGTGGTCTACATTTTCAAGACTGACGTTGTCAATAACAAGATTAGTTTGTAAATTACTCATTATTTTTGTTTTCTGAAGGTTCATTTTGAGACCTATTTTATTTGACTGCTGGTTTAATTCCTTCAACATTTGCTCCAGTTCCTTGATATCTGTACTAAATAATACTATGTCATCCGCAAACCTCAAATGACTCAAACGTACACCATCAACGTTTAGACCTTTTTCCTCCCAGTCAAGCTGTTTGAATACATTTTCCAATGCTAAGGTAAAAAGCTTTGGTGAAATAGTATCACCTTGTCTAATACCTCTATCAAGGCGCATTTTTTCAGTTTTTTCGTCTTCATTGATTTTGATGTGGAATGTGGCCTGTTCATAAATGTTATTAATGAGTGTAGTGTACCGTGAGTCTATTCGAGCATCCTTCAGGGCTGACAAAAAGGACCAAGTCTCAATACTATCGAAAGCCTTGTGAAAGTCGATAAATGCCATATGTAATAGTATATTATATAACGAGAGTTGTAAGAAGCTTATTACATGCGAGTAAAAAAGTTGCGCGCGAGCCGCATAGCGGCGAGCGCAGTAATTTTACAAGCATGTAATAAGCTTACAACTCAAGTTGTGTACTATACTTTTTCTACCATTATTTTCGTTTATAAAAATAAAAATTAAATTACCACTATATTTACACTGACAGTTTAATAATTTTTAATCTGTCAAAATAACGTCTGTTAATTCGTTTCCATGGTAACTCGACCAACTGACTTACAAGGCTTATGTGATATTACACATTTTTGTAAAACTGAAGCGTAATTTTTTTTATTACGTGCTAGTCATTACGTGTCAGTATCTGTTATGATGCATTTACTTAGCATCCAAATAGTAGGTAATATACAATTTACTAGTAAGAGAGTAGAAAAAGGTACATTATATTCTGTGGTTTTTTCTACTAGTGTTCTGATTTTCTGATGGTTTGTAAGTGATCATTAGCGCCAAACCCTTTTCTAAATCCCGCCTGTTCAACCGGTTGATATAAATCAAGTTTTGTGTTATGCGGTTGGTTATTATTCTTGTTAACAATTTGTATCAGTGTGACAACAAACTTATAGGTCTACAATACTTATATCTACAATATCAAAGTGAAAACAGTTTAAATTAGTTAATTATAACATTTTGTGTGACACTCGTATAGAGAAGAACATGTTAATTGTCACTTGTCACTTTGCAATTTTAAATGACATTGGCTGTCTGCCATTGTTTTCATTTTTTAATCACGATCACGAGTTTGTTTTGATTTAGGTGCAAAGTTCTAAAATAATTTGCATATAAGTCAAGTGATAAAGTACTATAAATTTGCGGTAAGTTACATTTAAAATTGCCATATATACTGCTATAAATCAACAATTTATATTTTTGTAAATATTAATAAATAATAGTATTATCATTTGGTAATTCCAAGTAATTCTATTTATAGCTTTTATTTATCTATACCTATTTAGTCACCTTTCCAGCAAGTTTATAATTGTTTATAAATAGGCAATTAAACAATCATTTCATTATTTTTTTGTTTTTTCTAGAATAATCTCATAGTGTTACTTTTTTTGCTTAACAAAAAAGGAAAGATATGACTAATATTTTTGTTCTTTTATCATTTTATCCAGTAGAGTATTCATAATGTAAACTTTATATTAAATTAACAATTATTTCAATGTTTTCTCTTCTGTCATACTTGGATTCCCCAGTCTTGTTTTAATAAGTTCATGTATGTTTTATACAATTGCCTTAAACTCTGGGAGTCAGATTTCCTAAGGCACTGTTTCAAACCCCTGTATATTCTAGATTTGCTTGTTCTTCAATATGATAGTCATATTATTTTTTAGCTATTTCATTTTTAAGGAGCGTACTTCACTTCACTCAATTCAAAAACAACAAATGCACTTCAAGAAAAAGAAAAGCTCCTGTTGATCAGAAATTCAATATGATTGAATACAAGTGGAAGAACAATTTCAGCAATCGTATTGAAAGCAAATTCAATAAGATTATTTCTTAACTCAATTAAGTTTCATGAACTTGACTTCAAGAAACAATGGCATTAGAGATAATTCTATAGGATTAGCAGAAAAATCTGGCTAGAATTTAAAAATTTTTAAAATAGTTTAAATTAATAAATAAGGCAACAAATCTAATAGTTTCCACTATAGTCTTCTTAGCCTTCTATCATCCATTTTTGGACATAGGCCTTTCCCAATTCTTTACATGGATCTCTATCGTGAGCAACATTCTTTCAATTAATTTTTTCTAACTATAGCATTTCTCGAACAAAAAAAATTATATCTGAGATCTAAAATAGTATAATAAAACAATCCGTGGGCTTCCCATTGGAAAACCTTTTGCTGGTTCTAATAATGTCACTTTGTTTCATAGCTCCAACTCCATAGAACTGTTCTATTATTTTATTGGACAAAGTATATCACATATACAACCATTGTAGGAATCACTTCTATAATAACTAAGTCTGTATTATTTATTAGTTTTGTTAACTTTTCAAGAGGTCTAATTAATTCAAGAACAGATTGCAACAGGTCCAATTGATTACTGCTTAAATTTTGCACTCTTTTTAGTAAGATAAATTGATACGCAATGTCTCAAATGAAGCAACCTTTCTAACATGTAGAAAGGGAAGGTCTACCATGCTTATACATTTTGAATAATTTTTTTTGGTGCATACTCAACTTTTATTGTATTTCACATAATTTGTTGCATGCTAAAGACGAGTAATTGAAATGAGTTAGAAATCAGTGGATAGTACTAATTGTATCTCATAAGGTTTTGTGAGAATTTATACTGTCATTGATTATTAATTACAGTTTGTGTAAAAAACACCTTCCACTGTTTATTTCTATAACTTTACAATCTTTTACCATATTAGTTCTACTGTTCCTTGACAATAAATGAATTTTTTGTTTTTCAACGGTCCATTTGTTTGTCAAGGTTGCAATTTTGTCAGCTATTGCAAGTCTGGTATAACTTCCTGAAAATAACATTATGTTGTCCCTGCATTTCTGAAATCCAGAGGCCTGTCACATTAGAAAAGTTTGATATTTTTCCCTAATCCTATTGTAAAAATCAGTGAATGTTTTTTCACTTTATATTTTCTGTAGGGTGTTTTATATTGAGGAACAATAGTATTTAGCAGTCTCTTAAACCCAGCATTTTCTAATAAGGAAAACAGTTATAAATACAAATCATTTCTGCAATTTTCTAATGAATTCTCTCTGTAGTTAAAGCTACCTGTATAGTTTGGACAGAACAAGTAGATGTAGGTACAGAATTGTCTTTCTCTATGGAAAAAAGTTCAATAAAATACAAATTTTTATCATAAGCACTTATAAAATAACATTAGGCTGTTGGATTATTTCCTCATAGCTAGGTCAGATTTCCAGTGTCTGATTCAGTTACAGCTAGGAATTCTGATCCCTGTTGGATTGGCTAGGTACCTGATCCGATACATACTTAATTAGAATATGACAGAAAGTCCTATAGTGATCCTAAGATTTTAATAGAATTTTTACTGAAATTATGAGGATTACCAAGTTTCAAGCCTTTTAAACTTTTTCTTTAATAAACAAAGCATAGTATCCTGAGACAAACAAGACTATTTCCCCAAAATCAATAAAAATCTTCTTTGCACCAAGAGAAACCAAGTTTTAAGACTCTAGGACAGGGGGTCTCCAAACAACGCCCCGAGGGCCACATCTGGCCCGCAGACAGATTTTGTCCGGCCCGCGGAGACATACTTGAAAACTCCTTTTAGAGAACAAATATTTTTTATAGCAAATAAAATGTTTTGTGATAAGTTGGATAAAGAAACACAGAATGGTAATGAGTAAAGACATGTATAATTTATGCAGTAAATTTAACTTCAGCATATAATAACTAACAAATTATTGAAATGAATCCAACTAACATTTTATACATTGTAAGTAATGAACAACACATACCTTATAACAAACATGACATATGAAATGCTAATGAGATGTATGTAATTGAGATTTTCCACCGACAATAGTTTGTAGTTGTGGACTAATTTTACTTGTACCAATTATTAAAAGAGATTTAAGATGCTCGTCAGTTAATTTAGATCTGTATACATTTTTTGTGTACTTCATTTTGGAGGTTTTCTCACACAAATAAGTAGTACCAAAAACGGAAAACAGCCCACGAGCAAATTTATGCAAATTATCAAATTGTGTCAGTGGAAGACTCTTATAAAATTCCAACAAAGATGAGTTTTCATATTTGTTCTTAATTATATCACTGCACTGAAGATCAATCATTTCCATTTGAAGTTCCGGGGCTAGGGTTTCAATGTCAGCATCAAAAGGATTCTGAAAAATCTTAATTTGATTTGCAATGGCATCAAAGTCCGAGAAACGAGTATCAAAATTTATCTTCAAAGCACTCAAAGTTTCGATTGCAAAATCGATAGGAAACTCAGTCTCAGTAGTGTGGCTGAATATTTCACATGTTTTAAAATGTGAAAAACATTTACTTCGTAGTTGTGATTGAAACAGTATCAATTTCACCCGGAATGACTTGATATTAGTGTATAAATCAGGAAGATGCTGGTTTTCTCCTTGCAATCTCAAATTCAGTTCGTTCACATGTTTTGTCAAATCAACATAGAATGCTAACTTCCATAGCCATGCGTTGTTTTGTAATTCAGTAAGAGAGCGGTGCTTTTCATTCAAAAAAATTTCGATCACTGCTCGAAGTTCAAAAAAGCGCTGAAGGACTTTCCCACAACTAAGCCAGCGTACGGCAGTATGATAAGGTAAGTCTGTTTCTCCAATCTCTGCAATAAATTGTCGGAATTGTCGGTGATTCAACCCAAAAGATCTGATGAAATTAACAGTTGATATGACTGGTTTCAGAACGTCAGATATATCCAAACATTTTCTGCACAAAGACTGTTGATGAATGATACAATGTAAGACTAATGGTTTTAAGCCGCCGTCATTTTCTACAGCCTTTGACACAAGAGCGACCACTCCTTTATCTTTCCCACTCATGTTTTTGCCTCCATCAGTTGTAATACATTTCTAGTTTTTCCATCGAAGGTTCTTTTTATTAGTGGCCATTTCAACTCCTTTAAAAATATCGGTACCAGTAGTTGTGCCATGAATACTATACATATCAAGAAGTTCTTCATGCCCTTCATAGCTTTTATCTACTCCTCTAATATAAATCAACACCTGAGCAGTATCTGACACATCCGTTGACTCATCCAAGGCCAAAGAAAACCACTCAACATGTTCATTTTTGTCGAACAGTTGAGAGGATATATTTTCAGCGATGTTTTCTACCCTTCGAGCCACAGTGTTTGCTGACATACTGACAGTTTTTAATAAATTTACCTTTTCAGGGCACATTTCTTCGACTACTGCAATTATGCATTCTTTGATCATTTCTCCATCGGTGAATGGTTTTCCGCGTTTTGCAATTTCAAGAGCCACACGAAAGCTGGCACGAGCTGCAAATCACTTAAGTGATTTGCGGCTATTATTTTTCAGACTTCTTATTATTTCGGATAGTTAAGTGTGTTTGTGACAATTTCTAACGATGGCGTTGAAAAATAGTAGAAAGAATAATTATGTTATTAGTGGACAATCTCGGGAGAGATTGGAGATTTCCACTGGTGGAAATATTTTGTTTGTTTATGTCTACCTTGTATTAAATTAACATATATCAAAAATAGGTGAATATTTGACATACTTAATAATGTTGACAGCTTACCACACTTACAAAAAATTAAATTATTCGTTATTTTACAAAAAATGATCCACACTTCAGCAAAATTCTATTACACATAAAATACAGAAATCTATAAAATATATAAATAATAATAAAATATAAAAAAAATATATAAAATACAGTGTTGCCATCTTGGCCCTCGGAACTTACTGGAGTAATCAGTATGGCCCTAAGGCTGGAAAGTTTGGAGACTCCTGCTCTAGGATATCTCCTTAAAGAAAAAAATATAAGAATATGATAAGTAGAAGACTTGTTGATCTCAAATTCAATAAGATACTTTCTTACACCAAGAGGAATCTTTGATAAAAAATCATCAGTGTATGAAAAGGAAAAAAGCTTTGACTGCAGATTTTAGAGTTCTTTCTTATACCAAAAGTAGCATATGTGTCAAGTCTCAAGCTCTAGAACTTTTATATATAAAAAAAGTAAAATAATATGAAAACAAGGAGGATATCCTATTGATCATAAATTCAATGGATTTCATATTTTTTAGTATTGTCAATGGGAATCACAATTTTAGTTGAAAAAACATTTATTTTGATGA